CTGTCTTTTTTGGCGGGCCAGTTTTAAAGTGAAATTCCAACAAATAACTGTTTTCTCAAGTGTTATAGGAGGATTTTATAGTCCTGTGGTAAATGACCTCAATTTAACTTTTTAAACTGAAATATTACAAGGTTTGGTTTCCTGTAAGACTCTGGGAACTCTCAAATAGTTTCTAGAAATTGTGTGTGTGTGTGTGTGTGTGTACACGCATATGCATGTGTGAGTGACTGAAATGTGAATAGGTGATAAAAATCTGAAATGAAAGACTCAAACTTCTAGTTTGCTGTCTCCTTCCTGATTTTGCAATAAACTGTACCTAGATAATGTAATTTTGTATATTTAGTGAGCGGTTTAGTAACATTGCTGGTTGGTTTGTTTTTTAAATAATTGGGTGAGTAATCTTGTTAGATACTTCAGTGTCCTAGACTGTGTTGGTGTAAGGATGGTAGTGTATTCAGGCTGAGTTCGGAGCCTTTTAATATTTCTATTTGCATTTCAGTGAGGTGAAAGTTAGATTAACCCTCACTCTGCCACCCATCTCTTTTTTAACTTAAAAACAAAAACAAACCTTTGACCTGGTGCCATAGTTTTCCTGGAGGCTATTTTGGAAATGTGATGTTTAAAACCTTAATGAACTAGATAATCTGGGTTAAAACAAAACAACCAAAAAAATGAAATTTCAGAATTATGTGCTGTACGTGGCCAGAAGTCTTGGTGTATCTTTCTTTGGTAATTGAAATAATGTCATAATTTAAATGTAGGTTAACAATATGCCAAGGCAAGCCACTGGACAAGGTCCACTGTATTCTGTGGCAAGGTGGACGTATCTTCTGTAGCAGTGTTCTCAGGTGCTGTGGCAGTCTGGTGTCATTTTTGCAGCAACAATGGCTAAACTTACTTAAGTTTTTCATTAAATATGAGATGAATAACACAAGCAGTACAGGAGCCCTGTATGTTTTATGTTCAATTTATTTTAGACCAGTCCCATATTTCCAGTTCTTGATGTGCAGAATTTGGTACTGAAAAAGGGTAATGTTTAAACTGTGAGGGACAAGCCAGAGGTTTTGGCACCTGGGGAGTGCACAGAAGGGATCTTGGACTTCTAGGAAAAGCTCATTAGTTGGATAGTGTTGATTAAATATCAGCATTGAAATATGTAATCTCTTTAACTTTACTCTGAAACTTAAGATGACAAGTCTCTTTGAGATGAATGGAGCAGTTCACACACGTGTGCTATTCTTTCTGAAGTCAAGAAGACAACACTGCAGCATTGCACACAGGCTGCATATTTTCAGGGTTACGTCTTCAAACATGAGGGATGGATTTTATTTATTTTAAATTAAAGCTTAGATTCTAGAGCACAGCTCTGGCAAGGGATGAATTCAATGGTGTTGAAATGCATGGGACCATTCCTATAGCGAGAGAGATTTTCTCTCTTCCCCAATATTTTCTCTCTTCCCCAGCTCCCTTCCATTTAAAACAAACAAACAAAACCCCCTAAAATGACCTCAATTTGGTCATGTCATCTGATGCTTTATCTCAAGTGTAATTCTGTAATAAAGCTTTATCTTTGAATGTTTTTTCTGAAGTAATGTAACCAATTCTTTCCAGAGACATCTAGCTTGTTACCAGTGTTATCTTGTTTCACATTTTAATGTTACCTCAAAATAGCACTAGTGTACAAAAGAGCACTTCATGCAGCATACACCAGTAGCTCTCAAAATTTTGTACTGGTGACCCCTTTCACATAGCAAGCCTCTGAGTGCAACCCCCCTTATAAATTAAAAACACATTTTAATATATTTAACACCATTATTAATGCTGGAGGCAAAGTGGGGTTTGGGGTGGAGGCTGATAGCTTGTGACCCTCCATATCATAACCTCACAACCCTGAGGGATCCTCACCCCCAGTTTGAGAACCCCTGGCATACACAATAGTTTCTTCTTGTAGCTGAAAGCATGTAGTGACACCCTAATATTAATCCACCCAATAATGGAATTCTTGGTTAAAACTTCCACTTTACTTGATCTTTTTGGCCCTTTCCACATATAAAAGGGGAAGAGAGTTAAACTACTGTGGCCAAAGTTGTCAAATAAGGGTGCTTAAAGTCTCCTGCCCTGCCCCCCAAAGGGGCCTGACTTGTTGGGTCCTAACTCCCATTTTCATTACTGGTAACTGCAGGGAACTTGTGTGAAAGGGCTGAGCATCAGCCTATCACCCTACTTATTTTGAACATTAAGTACGTGTGTTTTGATAGTTTTAGCATGTGCCTTTACTCCCCTTGTTCTGGTCTCTGCTGTGTATTGAATTATGTGGTGTAGCCGAAGTGTGTAGGGGGGACTTTTGGTATGTATGGAAACACACTGCAAGAGGCTTGTAAATTATACATCCTAGGCAACTGCATGTTGATCAGCTTACTTATTTGCAAGGCCAGCATGAAACTGACCGGCGTGCTCCATTTGATCAGTGGCAGGTAAGGGAAAGCTCACTGCTAGTTCAATGCACAGCTGTCTAAAGCCATGGGCCCTGGGGTGGGAGCATAGTCTGCTCCTATACATACTGTAGTTTTGAAATTTTGTGCCTGGTACATGTAAATTAAATAACTGTCTCCAATTTGTGGGTGCAGTGCAGTTAGAAGAAAGACAGCAGTATTGAGTGATTCTGCTATGCACTTTCTCTGAAACCCTTCCAGGCAAATTGCCAGGGTCAATTTCTGGAATATCCTCTTACAATACAGCAGGCTGTATGTTGCACTTATTGGAAGTGATGCTATCTGGTTTGCCGTTGTATGAAACAATACTCTCAGGGGGCTAAAGTCTATTCTTCGAAGGGAAACAGCTTATACATTGACAATTTAACCCTTGCATCCCCAATAATCGCTCTGGGCCATCCCACACAAAATATCAGATTTTAGATTACTTTTGGTAAAGTATTAACAGTTGAAAGCTTACAATGTTGTTTTGCATATAAACTCTCCCCACCCCCCTCACATGCCCCAGAGGTCTATGCTTTAGTACTTGCAACCACAAGCCAGTAATAATCCAGTACTGGATGAAGTCTCTACCTCTTAATTTCCAATCAGAAATTCATCTCCAAGCTCTCTGGTAATGTACAATGCAGGAGTCACATTCATATCCCCAACCATTGAGAACATCACCAATTTGGGGGTAAATGTTCTCATTCTTGTAGATCTGAGTCAGTTTCCCTGGTTAAGTCATGGAGGGCAAGAATTGTATTTTTTCCAATTAATATCCCAGTTCTTGCTCTTAGGGTTTCAGCATAAGCAACCAATTTCATGAAGGAGCATACCAGCTATTATTTGGGGGCATAACTTTAATGACTTCATATGGACTGCTTGTGCTATTGCCTCATTTCCTTTAGGTAGACTGAGCCAGGAACAGCCAGGTCCTCATTTACTCAAGATAGCAACATACCTGCTGATTTGCTCAACCATAGGCATTTCATTATTACATAATGGGAGGGGGAACTACAGCCCAGTTCTAGCTGTTTCATTTACTTAAGGCTATGAGCTAGCCATTTCTTCTCTGATCTGCCACAGTTAGTCTCTCTTCTGACTAGTTATAGTAGAGCTGATTAATCTGCGGGTTTAGGTTTTCTTACAAGTCTCTTCAGTTACTCCCTTAGTAATTCTCCCAGTAAGTTTGAAAGGAATCCATACCACATCACCACAGCTCTTCTTGCATCAGCTGGAGATGGGGACAGCAGTAAACAGTGAGAGAGCATCACCAGCTATACTCATAAGACACACCACAGTAGTTATGTCTTGCCCTCCTCCGGCAATAATCAGATCACATTGTAGAAAGGCATTGCTTAGTCAACCTGGAGCAACAGGGAATCTCTCAAATCATAGACTTAACACAAAAAAGTTCCTAATCATGAGGAGGATGTGTTCTATGCTAGGAACCTAGTTTGGGACATTTAAGTGCCTGCCAGCCAGCCTGCTTCTAGGGCTTCTACACTAGACAAGTCACCGATCTGTCTCAACACTACTTACTTCCTCAGAATTGCATCTTCAGAGGATTAGGCAGTTGCAGGGGGGTAAGTCAAGCCAAATTCTTACAGCACAGGCATTTGATACATGCCTGTGTAATTTAATCTTCTATAAGGTTAATATACCTCAGATATTCCTCTTCACAATAATTGTGAAGATTGGGGTTAGGCTAGTGTAGATAAGATTATAACATTTCATATACTTCTGGCTGCTTTGTCCTTTATTAACAAGGCCCTCCAATAAGGTGGTGATACTGCTCCAACTCCTTTTGTGTTTTCAGTAATTGGCATCAGAATTCAGGTCCATCAGTATACATTGTCTGTCAGTTTCCCAATCGATATCCCTGTCATCTCCCTCATTTTTCTATCTAGGAAGTAGTCTAGCCACAGGTAATTGATACATTGTTTAGGGCAACTAGAATTCCTGTTCTTATTTCTAAATTTTTCATTTTACAGAAATGTTCCTACCATAATTTTTTTTTTTTTTTGGTTAAACACAAACAGGAATAAACATTTTCAAGATCTTATACTATTACTAGCTGTAGCTACACCACTGCCCTATCATTAGCCTATATAGGATTTATAATCAAAGCATCTTACCCTCATTTCAAATAAACCACACTTCATTGGTGTAAATTGTAGCTATGTAGGGGGTTGCAGTGGTAGCTAAATCCCATTGTACACAAGACCCATCTATTCACAATCTAAAATCAGAATACCAGATACGGAAATGTTACCATAACATGAGAACACTGCAACCCAAGACACAGGTTTTCCACTTTTCACAATTGAAGGGAACAATTTGAATGGAACAAGCACTCAGTTTGTGTATTTTCAAAAATCAGTTTGAAATAGTTTTTACACTGACCGCTTGTACATGTGACATGCAATATTTTCACATTTTTTATTGTTAGATATAAAAATAACCTTCAAAACCGCTGTTAGTAACTCACTATAGCTCTCAGGTTTTAATGTTTCCCCTTTTTCTATGAAGACAATATTTGAGCCTTAAGGTTTTTTTATTTGGGTTTTAAAAAGCAGCCACACTATCTTTAAAATTGTACATGTTCAAAAAACCCAACAAAACATTGAATGCAAACCCAGGCCAGCCCTTCTAGTTGTCCTTCCCTCCAACAGGCAAGTTTTGGAATTAATTCCCCTGTCTATACAAGAACCACGCTGCCGGTGTGAAGGAAAGGATATTCTTATAGTTCCAGAAACCTCTGTTCATGAGTAAGTGCCTCAATCCGCAATCCCTGGGAAATTATTCACAGAAGTCCCTAGGGCAGGGGTTGGCAAACTTTTTGGCCCGAGAGCCACATCGGGGTTCCGAAACTGTCTGGAGGGCCAGTGTAATGTATTAAAATTGCTCCTTGTAGGAATGTGCTACTTACGGTGTACTACCACAGCTGCCAGTTCTGGCGCTCCGTAAGTAGCACATTCCTACAGGGAGCAATTTAATACACTACATCCAGCAGCTCTCGCAGCCGTGCTACCTGGCAGGAGCTCACAGCCCCGCCACCCAGAGAGCTGGCGGCATGGTGAGCTGAGGCTGCGGGGGAGGGGCCGGGGACCAGACAGGCAGGACATTGCCCGCGGGCCGTAGTTTGCCCACTTCTGCCCTAGGGGCATTTAGGAAAGCGTAGGAACCTCACCTGAAGAATGAGTACATTTTCAGTCCTCTGCAGCAGCAGCCACCTTTGGTAGGAACATGCTTCTGGGCTGGTTACAATTCCTTGCTTTATATGGAAGGAGGGGAGAACTTCCATTCCTGCCTATTATTCTGCTATAATTAAACCTGCTTATCCTTTCCCCCTACTTCTGTGATTCACTGCTGGCTACTTCCCATTAGTGATGAATGAGGAGAGAAGTTGTGCAACAGACCAAGAAACTTCTTACCTGGTAATTTTTTAGCAGTTTTTCTCCCCATTCAGGTCCCTCCAGTAGACTGATAAATGACACGTACCAAATACCGCTCTTGAATTGAAGCCAGAAAAAAACACAAGAAGACCGCGAATAACATGGAAACGAACAGTTCTGAACAACATCAAGCACCTCAACGTGAAAGGGGAAGATTTGGAGAAAAGGGCAATTGACAGGTGAGGATGGCAAATGTGGGTAGCCCAATGTGCAGCAAAGCACGGGATGGACTAAGGTCTAAGGTAATAAACACTATAGAAAACAAACTCATAATGGGTATTGACCAGGAGGAGAAATTAAGTTCAGTGATAACCTAACCACTCATGGGTTTGGAGAACATCTAGTGAGTAGTACTGAGTCACATACACATGGCCAATGCAATTATTGGGATGAGTCCCTCACTAATGTCTTTTCTCACTGTGATGTGTCAATCTTTCAGTGTTTTCTTGTTTATTTATAAACTGGCAGTTAAAATATGCAGTTCAAACCACCTCTGAATGTCAGTGTCAAAACAACTTTTCTACACAATTTTCAAAGTGTCCTGGAACCATCCAAGTAGAACAATCTTGAATAACTGGTAATACTAAGATACTGTTGTGGCACATCAAAACAAGGCTGACTGACAGATTAGTACTGTCAAGTGAACTGAAGCAAACAGCTCAAGTCTGGCAAAGAAACTGTAGATATTTTTACCATTGGAAAAAAAAATTTTTTTTTTTAAAGGACACTGCTGCTAGTGCTTCCAAGTCAGAATTAGATGACCTTGAGAATCATTCCCTATTTTTGATCATAACACCTGAGGTTTGTTAATAAGCAAAAACAAAGGTATTTTAATCTTAACTGCAAAATGTACATTTATAGAACATCTGCTGTTCATTGGGAAACAAATGTTTCTTATATAAGAATGAAGAATTCTCATTTGGAAGTATTTTGCTTTCAATAAATTAAAAAAAAAAAAGTCAGGTTGTCAAAGTTATTTCAGTCATGACCAGGAAGAAGAAACAAAGACTTTTTAATTTACTCACGTCTGCTCTGTCTTTCCTTATCCATCCAATTTTCTTTGAGACAGGCAGAAGAGATGCATTTGCATAGTCCAGAAATTTCTTAATCTAAAATTGTTCTGGGTAAAGGTACTGTTGACATTCATGTCTGTATTATGAAAGTGCCCTCCTTCTCTGTACCTCTTAAAGCAAATTCTTAAGTTTAAAACCTAAAAGAACAAAATCTTTCAGAAGACTCTAACCTTTGAAATTTGTACACAAGTAGTTCTCAATTTAAAGTACTGACACACAACTCATTTTATAGGACAACCACTTTATTACAAAGAATAAACAATGCTTTGAAATAAGATATATTCAATTATTTTTTCATTGTACAAAACGTCAATTTTCTTTATAGAGATCATTGAAGTAACAAGCCATAAAACTATAACCACCTCAAATCAACCACCCTGAAATACCAGTTAACAATAGTATCGTTAACTATATCTCCAAAGTTTCTGGCTTGGTCATCATGTGCTCTACTTCAAACTATATTAGAAGATATTGCTATAATTACTTTAAAACACAAAATGTTGGTTCTCGTTCATTTTATTTCAAATTTCACAAAAACATTCTTAAGTTGTTGCAATATCTGCTACAACTAGCATGACTTTTCTACTTATATAGTCAGAACTTTCATGAAAAGTCTACCAAACCCCTTGAAATTTCTACAAATCTGATACTGTATTCTGATCAATGTGGGTGTTTTGTTTACATGTATTTTAACAATGACAAATATGGAATAATGAGGACTTCTGATGCAGTTTCTCAAACAGCTAATTTCAATTGTATTTCAAATAAATTTAAAAACTGGAACAGACATCTCAGTATATTTGTCCAATATCTAGTTTATAAACAAATAAAATGTTTCTCTAAGATGAAACTTAGGTGGGATTTAGACATTTTGCAAGTACAGTTCTGAGAAGCAGACCTCAATGTGCATTTTCACAGTGTATAACGTAATTTAATTTTAAAGTAAAACTGCAAAGCACGGAACAGGAGATTTGCATATGTTCACTATTCAAACATTACCCAACTGGGATAACGGAAGAGAGTGAAAACTTACATAAAGCCAGCTGTAAGTACACTTACACAGAAATCGTACTTTGATTGAAAACACCACAGTTTTACCTTTGGTCAACGTGACACACCCTTTAAAAAAATAAAATGTGCAAAGTATATGAAACCAAGTGCAAAAACTCCATCCATGGACGTACCCAACAGATTTTATTCTTAAATAATATCAGTACAATCACAGCTACCAACCAACAAATGTTTTCTAAAGGCATCTTTCACAGTACTAATAAGAAAAGCAAAGTTATACTTTTCTAGTTACAGCCTGCGTGTAAGTGGAGATTTTAGTTACTGGGTAGTGTCAAGGTCATAACTGATAAAGTAGACCATTATACTAATGTTTTTAAGCCCATTTAACTTTGTCTGCAGGAAAAAACCCTATATAAAAATTCATGATGTGAATACTCAGCTTCAAATGAATCTGTTGAAATCAACACTATATGCACAAGTTTTTTTCTTGTCAGGTTTTCTATTGTTATGAGTAGAACTATTTAAACTACACTCCTGTGTCACAATCAATTCTACAATGAAGATTTGTAAAGTCCCCAGTGCTTTTACATGGCATCACAGATTGTGGCTGTGTTAAGGCTGTATCAGCACTTCCATTATAAACCCTGACTTTTAGAAGTCTAAAGTTTGGCCATAAAATTTACTTCAGCATATTTGGATTAGCCAATCTTTTCTTGAGAATCTTACCAAATATCTATGCCCCCATTAAAAACCAAAACAAAATAAACAGGCAAGTCTATTCTTAATTTTTAAGATTACATATTTACAGTGCATGTTCTTAACATAAATGTAAGGGAAAAAGGCAAGTAATTCCATCTTGATGTATATTCTTTTGGCATCGAAGGAAAAATTTAAAGTGCAAAGTATAAACTTCATTGCACATGTGCAGTAACTCATTTAATAAAAATTATTATTAGTTGCCTCAAAATCTATTCACCTAGTGGCCTCACACAATTCAGCCATTTTACTCTACACTTTGGTAAACAAATGATTTTTTAAAAATAAATAGCATTGAAATGTTTACATTTGTTCTATTTTCTTTAGCACAGGAATGGATCAACCTATTCCTAACAGCAGTGCTTTTTGAGCTAAATAGCTATCTAATTAATGAAAAATGACTGACAGGTAAATGGGAGTATTGAACTGATTGCTTTACCTGTATATTTTACCAATCAAGCAGTTATGAAGACTAACTGGAATAAATATGTCATAAGAATTAGCATATAATATGTGCAAAACTGCTTACCATGTATTTTAACTTTGGTTAAATTTTTAGACTAAAATATTACAGAAATGTTATGGAAGCAACACAAGCGATTACAAACATAAGAATGAGGTACATTAAATTCTTATTAGTGCAAAAAGCAAGCATATGCTGGAAGCAAAGCATATGGGTTTAAAAAAAATGGATGAATCCTCATGAAGGGTTTAATAGTAGACCAGAGAGGTCTCTTTGTAAACATTAAGAATATTTACAGATTTAAGATTTGTACAACTTCAAAAGGATAATCCCAACTAATAGTAGTGCATTTACATTACATTTATATTTTTCATAACAGAAGTGACTAAGTTTCCTAGTATTTGCATATCTTCAGGGAATGCCTTTAAAGATTAAAATATGTGTTACAAATAGTAGAAAAATCATTTCTTTACAAAAAGTATATATATTAAAATATTCTATACATTTTAAGATACCATAATAAATGGAAATGTTCACCTTGCACTCAGATACCACAGTGATGAATGTGGTATAAGAACTTCAACCGAACAGAGATCATGAGGCTTTACAAAGTTATCTGTGCAATGACATTTCAACACGGGCAATCTCTACGAAATCTTTTAAAACTGGCACAAGTGGCGGATAATCTTGTACACCAGCAATTGTAACAAATTTAAATTCTGCTTCAAGAGTCAATTTCAGATTTAAAAGGCAGTGATTGTTAAAACGTTAATTATTAAAATGGTTGTTGATAGAAGATAATCAGTATCTAATTATTTATCTTCACTATAAGAATTTCCATATATGGTAGTTCAACCTGAGCAAGGCTGCATAATGCTGATGTTTAAAATATAAAAAAAAGTGTTCGTATAAATTTAAGATAAAAACAATGCAAAAATAAAATATTTGGAGCATTTACAAAATATTACAAATGTTAAACACTACATTCATAACTTGAATTTTATTATGGTGCTTCTATTTTGAACTTGATGTTTTCATTTCTGTGAAAAGAAGGAGACACACTATTATCTATATGAAGTCATGGAACATTTAAGTGGTCTGACATGTTCAAATAGACCATATTCTTGAAGCTTGTATCTAGAGATTTCAGTATATAGATTATTGCCAAAACCCTCAAAGCAGGGCTGGAATAGTAAACACCAAACTGAACTCTTCTACATGGTCTTCCCCCAGATTAGAGAAACAGTTTTCAAGTGTGGACAATAGTGTTTTCTAATAGCTCACCTTTGGTTTGAGCCCTGCAATTGTTTTACTGGTTTAAATGTAAAGGCTAGAGAGTAGTAACAAGTGGCTCATTGTCCTAATAAGCCAAGATACTAAACACAATTTCAGAAACCTTAAGAGAAAGCAGTGATTTCACTGCCCTTACTGGAAGTGAACAAAATCAGGACACCTCATACAGAGGCAATAAATTACTCTCTGATTAAAGAGAAAAAAGGACAGAAGGATCCAATCAAAACAGTGGATGCTACTAGGTTAGTTGGCAGTATCAGCAGGACAAAAATGTTGAAGTTGAAATGAAGCTAATTAGAATCTAAAGTTTGGTTGGGTTCTTTCTGATAACGTATACCTGTGGGGTGAACCAGTATAATGATTCAGTATTTTTTTACTTTTCAGCTTCTACTTGCATCCAAATTAATAGAACAAGTTGTCTGAAAGTTTTAAGCGGAACTTAAATTAATGACCAAATGTTTCTAAAAACTCTACAGATCATTCAGGCAGAAGAGGCTGCATGCTGCTAAGGAAAAATGGACTCAACAACAGAAAAACAGTTTGATAAATAGATTTCTCATAGTACAGATAAATCCCATTTAACGCTACATTTGGTATCCACTTTACCTTGAAGCCATCGAACTTGCGTGGCTGGTCCATACCCTCTCTCATTCTTTGCAGAAATCCTGAACACTATAGCAGGTCTGGAGGTGTAATCAACATGGGCATTTGAAAGCTGTGCAGCAGTCACTATACATGATGTTTTAAGACCACAGTATATTTTCATAAATACAAGCTGATTTGGGTTTTCATGTACTTGTGTGGTACGAATAGCTAAGTAAGCCGAATATTCCAAGATATTTCCAGAAAGTGAAACAGGTGGCTCCCATGAAAGATGAATACAGTCTACACTCTGGAGAAAAATTTGAAACATTATAGTATCACAATGTGTTGATACTCAACTGTAAATTAAGCACATTACATAAAATTCCATTACCATTTAAGTGTGGTTATACTCTACAGAGAATGAAAAGGCACATTCTTACTCAGACCACCAGTCCTTATGTTTGTTCTGAGTCGCAGCTGCTTACTTTACTTACAAAAGCATTTACTACCTTTTACTCTTGATAGCAAGCCTGAGCTAAAACAGGTATGGAAAACAGAAAACTTCTACTCTAGCTTATGCAAAACAAACAAAGAGCAGAACAAACACCGGGATTCCAGATGTACAAATAAGGGAATGAGGTGGTGTAAGTGTAAATAATGGAAGAAACTATTTAAAATGTATTATTGGTAATATAACATGAGCCAGAAAAAGCAGAGACTGATTTTCAGATCCCAAGTTGAATTTGTTGGGCTGGCAGTTAAAAAAACAAAAACAAAAAACCCATCTTTTTATTTGTAAGTGTACAAATTTAACAGTCATTGAGACACAAATATTAAATTTCAATGTCATTTTAAAAACTTCTCAGAGTGACCAACATTTTAACATGATTACTACCTGATTTATAAAAAAACCAACATTCTAAATCACCACCATTCTTTGGATCTTTTAACGTCTTGTTGTCAGTCCTTTTCTTTTAAGCTGCAAGCACCTCAGGACAGAGACAGTTTAACACAACACTAGACAAAGTCTGTACTGATCAGAGAAAAGTATTTGTTACCTGGTAATAATATTTTCATCAACACCTCTATCTCAATGTTAAGTGTCTGAATGTGGTTCATAACAAGAAGGCCACACAAAAAAGTGTTACAGCACGTAGAATTTACCCATCAACTTTTGACAATATATGCTAGGACAGTTTTTTTAAGTAAAAATCCCAGAAATTACCAGATTAGGTTTGGGAGACAACACAACACTACACAAACTGAAATACTAACCAGCTCTCTCACCTTGGTGATTCTGACTGTTGAAGGTGCCCCAGGAAAACCCGGAATGCAGGTTTTAAATTCACTGACTTTACTGAAAGGGCCGACACCACAGCCATTAATTGCAGCAACCCTGAACCTGTACACAGTGCCTGGAAAGAGATCCTGTTTCTTAAGTGAACTGTAGTCTGGGACATCTGCATTTTCCACCTGAAAATTTAAATAATGCAAAATTCAAGTAAATAAGTTTACCTGTAAAACACTATAAAAAAAAATCACACCTAACCTAATAGATTAGCAGGTGGCAGGCTCAGTTTAAGCAAAAACTAATTTTAAAGTGATTTTAGAAGTGTGCGTGAACAGTATATACACAGTAGATCCAAGAAGTTAGGTCAAACTGTTATAAGGGTTAAAGAGAAGCCCTTATAACAGAAGTGTTTAAGAAAAGTTTATAATCCCCAGAAGTAATAAAGAAATCCTCAGCTGCTGTTTCACTGTGAAGTGTGCTCTGTTATACTGAACACAACATATTATGGCTTGTTTGTTTTTTCATCTAATTATGGTCAGTGATAAAGGCAGGATACTGGACTAAAGAGAAATTATTTGCTTTGGTAGGGAACACATGAGTTGCCATACATTGCTTTGTATTAGTGGCACAATTCTATGAGTTTTCTTTAAACAAACTAAATATATATTTTTATTTCAGTAATTTACAAAAATCATACTAATTAAAGCACTGACCTACTGCAGAGGAATGATAGATAAGGTAAAAAACAATTAAAACTGTAATCCCTATTTTTGCTTCCTGAAAAATGCTTTTTGATTGCTTTCTCGCATTAGTGTAAGTGATTTTAAAAAAAAAAAAGTGAAGGGAATGGCACAAGTTTTTTAAGTTATGCATTTGAAAAAATGTATAGTCTTATGCCCAAGCTATTATATTTTGTCCCTTAACTTTTTTTTATTTCAAAAGTTGCTGTTTATAGTCATGAGATATAAAACTTTGACTTGACATGAAAATAAAGTTGTATAAATCTTTAAGTCACTATGCTGCTAACCAATACAGAATTCATTCATTTGTTTAAGGACATGTGTAATGTCAAACAATGTTAATGAGTATTAAAAAGAGTCACAATTAAAGGAGAAGAGACCTCAGTGAATAAGTTTCAAAGTTGTATTTAAACAGATGCTAGATTAAAAATGTATAGCTAACCCACACCATTTCTTAATTTTGAAATCCAGTTGCAGGTTTCTAGGTTTTCATACCTCCAGTGATCACACACAAAAAGTTCTTCCTGGTTTGAAAATTTACCAGCTTGAGAGCTATTTCCTATGTAACGCTGGCATAAAACTAGTAAAAACTTAAGTGCGCCTTCCCTATAATCATGCATTTTATTCAGCTGGTTCAAGATTTAGCCTCAGAAAAACCATAAGTAAGCAAGATATCTGCCAGCATCCTTTGTGTCCAGAACTCCTATTAGCACTAGCTCCTTCCACAGTGTGCCAAACCAAGAAATACCCAAACCTTTAGTCTCTACCAGTTAATATACATGGGCAACACATTCCAAAATTAAGAATACACAAATAGCACTTACCTTGTTGGAGATGCTTAATTTTTCTTCTGGCAACAAATAGTACTGGCTCACCAAAGCACTGTTGCTTTTAAAAATTCCTACATCGTACCACTGTCGTTCTCTTGTTTTCACTGTTGCCATCTGCCTTAGTGGAGTAGTTTTCTAATGTTTGAGGAACACGTTATATAGACCACCCATACTTTAACACAACATAAAAAAGTCACATTTCACAAAACTAAAATGTATGAAAAAAGAACTCCCAGGCACTCCAGTAAGTTACACTTTGCTGTACTTCAAAAGAACAAATATACATTTACTACTCAAATGCAGTTAAAATACTGAGTGGTTAAACTTGTTAAAAACACTGGTACTTCCAAACACATAAGGTGAAAGGTATGCAGATAGTATGTGCCAAGATATGTTAGTAAAACATCTATTAGAAATACAAATTGACTGATGTTCTGATACCATTTCTAAGAGTACTGCCCCAGAAAAGAGGTTCTTCTAGGAAGGACATTAGAATTTGTCACCTCCAAAGGGGCAAGTAGTTCTATATTAGCTCATCTCAGAGTTCAAAAGGAACTTAAACAAACTATCTATAGGTTTGAAACTATGCAGAATGCCTAATCTAAAGTATGCAAGACTACATACTTCTATTTTAATCGAAGTACTAATTACAGAATGCATTTATTACTTTATTACACATACCAGCTATATGCACATAGTTGTACTATACTGAGTGATACGAAATGGGGTCCTACACTTGAAATGTAGTTAAAATTTCCTCCCACCTTTCCTGAGTAGTTGTTTCATTTACACTCTCTCAAACCAAACTGTTTGCAACACAGCTCTTATTTTTTGAGAGACTGGATACAATGTATAATTTTCATCTGTACTATTCACAGCAACCTACTAAGCAATGCATCATGTTTTTCTTTCAAACAAAATATAACTAACTACTGGGAGGGGCCTGAGACTAAGAAGAGATGTAATTATTCAGTTTTATTATGCAATGTCACATACTTACAGATAAGTGCACAGTCGAGTTATTTGTGTGACCAGTGCTGACCTTGGTTGAAGGCATTATAAAAGTAGTTTCAGCAACTGGAAAC